CTACAAATTTAATAATGATGATAACAATATAATAAGTGATAAGGATATAAATAACAGGAGAAATATTGAGAATAAATACGGCTAAATAATAATAGTAATGATAACAAACATGTAGAAAATAAATTATAGTAATAACAGTAATAGAAATATTCTAATAATTAAACTGGTAAAACAATGTAAGGTATATTCATATACACAGTAAATAAATAAATGATTATGATATATAACTCAAAAGAAGAAAAAAAAAACACTTCCCTACACCACACGCTCACACTTTCTCAAACACGCTGAGCACAAATAGCAAGATAGAAACACCATCACACTATAGAACGCACAATTCCAGAAAAAAAGAAAAAGAAATAAGAAAAAAAAAGACGAAAGAAAACCTTCATTTGATTTTGATTTTGATTTTGATTTTGATTTTGATTTTGATTTTGATTTTGATTTTGATTTTGATTTTGATTTTGATTTTGATTTTGATTTTGATTTTGATTTTGATTTTGATTTTGATTTTGATTTTGATTTTGATTTTGATTTTGATTTTGATTTTGATTTTGATTTTGATTTTGATTTTGATTTTGATTTTGATTTTGATTTTGATTTTGATTTTGATTTTGATTTTGATTTTGATTTTGATTTTGATTTTGATTTTGATTTTGATTTTGATTTTGATTTTGATTTTGATTTTGATTTTGATTTTGATTTTGATTTTGATTTTGATTTTGATTTTGATTTTGATTTTGATTTTGATTTTGATTTTGATTTTGATTTTGATTTTGATTTTGATTTTGATTTTGATTTTGTGATTTTGATATTGATTTTGATTTTGATTTTGTGATTTTGATTTTGATTTTGATTTTGATTTTGATTTTGATTTTGATTTTGATTTTGATTTTGATTTTGATTTTGATTTTGATTTTGATTTTGATTTTGATTTTGATTTTGATTTTGATTTTGATTTTGATTTTGATTTTGATTTTGATTTTGATTTTGATTTTGATTTTGATTTTGATTTTGATTTTGATTTTGATTTTGATTTTGATTTTGATTTTGATTTTGATTTTGATTTTGATTTTGATTTTGATTTTGATTTTGATTTTGATTTTGATTTTGATTTTGATTTTGATTTTGATTTTGATTTTGATTTTGATTTTGATTTTGATTTTGATTTTGATTTTGATTTTGATTTTGATTTTGATTTTGATTTTGATTTTGATTTTGATTTTGATTTTGATTTTGATTTTGATTTTGATTTTGATTTTGATTTTGATTTTGATTTTGATTTTGATTTTGATTTTGATTTTGATTTTGATTTTGATTTTGATTTTGATTTTGATTTTGATTTTGATTTTGATTTTGATTTTGATTTTGATTTTGATTTTGATTTTGATTTTGATTTTGATTTTGATTTTGATTTTGATTTTGATTTTGATATTGATATTGATATTGATATTGATATTGATTTTGATTTTGATTTTGATTTTGATTTTGATTTTTTTTTGCTTTTGTTCTATGGTTTGATTATCTTTTGTTTGTTTGTATTTTGACTTTTTTGTTTGAAGGTTTGATTTAAAAAAAGTAAGTTTTATTTTGACTTGTCTTTTTTATATTTTTTCTTAGATTTCTTTTATTTATTTATTTTTTATGTAATGGCTTGATTTGTTTTGTTTTGACTTGACTGTATTTTTTCTCTATTTTAGGTTTGGATTTGATTTTGATTTTGATTTTTTTTCCTTTTAGATTTTGGGTTTTTCTTTAGCTGTTTTTTTTGCTTTATTTTAGAGTTTTCTAAGTGTTTGGGCTTTTCTTAGGCTTAGATATTTATATTATTATTATTCATTTATTTATTAATTTATTCTTATTTTTTTTAGACTTTGGATCTTTTTCTTGGCAGACCTCTTTTTTTTACTTTTTCATTTGTTTTGTCTTAAATATTGGGCTTTTATTTGACCAGGTTTTTCGTTCGTTTGTGTTTTTTATTTCTTTCGTTTATTTCTTTGAGTGAGAAATATGGGGTAGGGAGGGTGGGGTAGGGAGGGGGAGGGGGGAGTGCATGGTGCTTGTGTCCCTATGGCAAGGTTCTTCATACTAAATAACAAATAAAAAAAAAAGGAAAAAAAGAGAAACTTCAAAGATAAGAAGAAGAAAAACAAAAACAAAAAAAAGAAAGACTGCAATAAGGAATGGAAAAGTTCTTCATATTAAATAAAAAAAGAAATAAGAAAAGGAGGGAAAAAATTTAAAGAAGAGGAGGAGGAAGAAAAAGAGGAAGAAAAAATAGAGAAATTTCAAAGAAGAGGAAGAAAAAGAAAAATAGGAAGAAAAAATAGAGAAATTTCAAAGAAAAGAAAAAAGAGAAGAAGAAGAAAAAAGAGAGAAATTTCAAAGAAAAGAACAAAAGAAAAGGTGGAGGAAAAAAAAGAAATTTTAAAGAAAGGAAAAGAAGAAAAGAAGAAGAAATAGAAGAAAATACTATACGTAATGGCAAGGCTCTTTATCCAAAAATGAAAAACAAAAAGAAAAACAAAGGAAAGAATAGATAAAGTTCAAAGAAAACAAGAAACGAACAAGAAAAGAAGAAGAAGAAGAAAGAATAAGAAAACCTTCCAAGAAAAGAAAACAAGAAAAGAAGAAGAAAAAGAAGAAAGAAAATAAAGAATAAGAAAAACTGCCAAGAAAAGAAAACAAGAAAAGAAGAAGAAGAAAGAAAAGAAAGAAGATAAAACAAGAAAAGAAGAAGAAGAAAGATAAGAAAAAAGAGAAAACAAGAAAAGAAGTTAACGAAAAAGAAAAGGAGAGAAAAAGAAAAACTTCAAAGAAAACAGAAACTTCAAAATAAAGAAAACAAGAAATCAAGAAAAAGAAGAGAAAAGAAAAGAAAAAAAAAACTTTGCGTATAACCGAATTATCTATTTTTTTAGACTTTGGATCTTTTTCTTGGCAAGACTCTTTTTTTAATTTTTCATTTGTTGTTTCTTAAAATATTGGGCTTTATTTGACCAGGTGATATTTCCCTCGTTCGTTTGTGTTTTTTATTTCTTTCGTTTCTTTCTTGAGTGAGAAATATGGGGTAGGGAGGGTGGGTAAGGGAGGGGGAGGGAGGGAGGGAGGGAGGGGGAGGAAGGAGGGAGGGAGGGGGAGGAAGGAGGGAGGGAGGGGGAGGAAGGAGGGAGGGAGGGAGGGGGAGGAAGGAGGGAGGGAGGGGGAGGAAGGAGGGAGGGAGGGGGAGGAAGGAGGGAGGGAGGGGGAGGAAGGAGGGAGGGAGGGGGAGGAAGGAGGGAGGGAGGGGGAGGAAGGAGGGAGGGAGGGGGAGGAAGGAGGGAGGGAGGGGGAGGAAGGAGGGAGGGAGGGGGAGGAAGGAGGGAGGGAGGGGGAGGAAGGAGGGAGGGAGGGGGAGGAAGGAGGGAGGGAGGGGGAGGAAGGAGGGAGGGAGGGGGAGGAAGGAGGGAGGGAGGGGGAGGAAGGAGGGAGGGAGGGGGAGGAAGGAGGGAGGGAGGGGGAGGAAGGAGGGAGGGAGGGGGAGGAAGGAGGGAGGGAGGGGGAGGAAGGAGGGAGGGAGGGGGAGGAAGGAGGGAGGGAGGGGGAGGAAGGAGGGAGGGAGGGGGAGGAAGGAGGGAGGGAGGGGGAGGAAGGAGGGAGGGAGGGGGAGGAAGGAGGGAGGGAGGGGGAGGAAGGAGGGAGGGAGGGGGAGGAAGGAGGGAGGGAGGGAAGGAGGGTGGGAGGGAGGGAGGAGGGAGGGAGGGGGAGGAAGGAGGGAGGGAGGGAGGGGGAGGAAGGAGGGAGGGAGGGAAGGAGGGTGGGAGGGAGGGAGGGAGGGGGAGGAAGGAGGGAGGGAGGGGGAGGAAGGAGGGAGGGAGGGGGAGGAAGGAGGGAGGGAGGGGGAGGAAGGAGGGAGGGAGGGGGAGGAAGGAGGGAGGGAGGAGGGAGGGAGGGGGAGGAAGGAGGGAGGGAGGGAGGGGGAGGAAGGAGGGAGGAGGAGGGAGGGAGGGAGGGGGAGGAAGGAGGGAGGGAGGAGGGAGGGAGGGGGAGGAAGGAGGGAGGGAGGAGGGAGGGAGGGGGAGGAAGGAGGGAGGGAGGGAGGGAAGGAGGGAGGGAGGGAAGGAGGGTGGGAGGGAGGGAGGGAGGGAGGGGGAGGAAGGAGGGAGGGAGGGGGAGGAAGGAGGGAGGGAGGAGGGAGGGAGGGGGAGGAAGGAGGGAGGGAGGAGGGAGGGAGGGGGAGGAAGGAGGGAGGGAGGGAGGGGGAGGAAGGAGGGAGGGAGGGAGGGAGGGAGGGAGGGGGAGGAAGGAGGGAGGGAGGAGGGAGGGAGGGGGAGGAAGGAGGGAGGGAGGGGGAGGAAGGAGGGAGGGAGGGGGAGGAAGGAGGGAGGGAGGGGGAGGAAGGAGGGAGGGAGGGGGAGGAAGGAGGGAGGGAGGGGGAGGAAGGAGGGAGGGAGGAGGGAGGGAGGGAGGGGGAGGAAGGAGGGAGGGAGGAGGGAGGGAGGGAGGGAGGGGGAGGAAGGAGGGAGGGAGGGAGGGGGAGGAAGGAGGGAGGGAGGAGGGAGGAGGGAGGGAGGGAAGGAGGGGGTGGAAGGAGGGAGGAGGGAGGGGGAGGAAGGAGGGAGGGAGGAGGGAGGGAGGGAAGGAGGGTGGGAGGGAGGGAGGGAGTGGGAGGAGGGATGGAGGGGGAGGAAGGAGGGAGGGAGGAGGAAGGAGGGGAGGGAGGGAGGGAGGGAGGGAGGGAGGGAAGGAGGGAAGAGGGAGGAAGGAAGGAGGGAAGTGGGTAGGTTTGTGTAAATTTTTGCGTATGTGTGTGTGCACTGTACGTTTGTGTGAGTGGGTGTGGAATATCATGTTTTTTTTTAAAATATTTTTCTTTATTTTTATTTTTCCAAATAATTCGAATTTTACACATAATTAGTTGGGTTTTAGTTTGTGTTTGTGTGTATGTGAGGTGGGGGGGTGATAAGGATACAGATACACAGACATACACGTACACGAACACACATACACACACGACTCTATCCTTACACGCCCATACCCCCTCCACCTCCAAGACAAGTACCCCCACCCTCAGCCCCACCTAACTTACCCCCTCTTACAATCCATCCCTCCTTCTCCCTCCCTCCTCCCCCCTCCACCCTTTTTTCCCCCCTCCTCCTCCCCCCCTCCGCCCCTTCCTCCACCCCTCCTCCTCCCTCCTCCACCCCCTCCACCCTTCCTCCACCCCCATCCCCCTCTCCTCCTTCCCTTCCTCCACCCCCCTTCCACCCCTCCTCCACCCTCGTTCAGCCTTCCTCCACCCCTTCTCCTCCCCCCTCCACCCCTTTCCCCTCCCCTTCCTCCCCCTCCCCCCCTCTCCTCCACCCCCTCTACCTCTCCACCAACAGCGCAAATCCGCGTCCAATAGATAATCAATCCCACAACAACAAAAAAAAAATTCACACCAATTTGCATTCAAGTGCGACTTCGAGTGTGACGTGTGTGTCAGTAAAGCAAATCGCCTTTTGTTGCATTATTCACTGCGACCAAATAGATTTTACGACGTCTGTAAGGCGAACACGCACTTCGTCCATTTTGAAGACGTGTGTGCGAAAGCTTGGTTTTGCAGATCTTTTAAATATTTTTTTAAAACTTTGATTTTAAGGATTATTTTTTTGGGTGGGGAGTATTTTTTAAAAAAATATTTTGTTGTTTGTGTTCTTCGATTTTTTTTTCAGTTTTTAAGCGTTATTATCTCTTCGGGGTATTAAAAAAAAAAATATTTGTTTATATTTATTTTTTTCTCTTTTCTTTTTGTGTGTGATTTTATCTGAATAAACAAATCTTATATATATATATTTTTTAGTATTCTTATTAAATTTTACTATTTACACTTTATATTTTAAGATATTAAGATATTTTAATTTAACCATTATAGATAACCAAATGATTTTGTGAAGTGAAAAAATAGCTTGATTAAAACACAAAAGAAATCAATAAAACACAAAAATTAGAACGAAAGACTAATTGGATTTTTTTTTCGTCTTTTTCCCTATTATCTTTTTCTTTTCCTCTTTCTTTTTCACCCTTTTCGTATTGTCTCGTTCTTCCCATCATATAATTTTCTCTCTTCCTCTGTCTTCTCCATTATTATCTCTCTCTCTGTCTCTGTTTTTCTGTCTGTCTCTCTTTCCCACTCCTTTCCCTCTCTCTCTTCCTTCCTTTCCGATTTTTCCACCTTCTCATCTATCTATTTCTCCCTTCTCCCTCTCTCCTCTCCCCCTTCATTCTTTCTCTTTTTCCTTTTCTCCCTATTTTGTCTCCATTCTCTCTATTTCTTGTTCTTTTTCTTTCTTTTTTCTCCAACTTCCTCTCCCTTTTCTCCCCCTCGTTCTCTCTCTCTTTCCTTTTTCTCCATCTTTCTCTCTTCCTTGTTCTTTCTCTCTTTCCTTTTCTCAATCTTTCTCTCCCATCTCTACCCCTCGTTCTTTCTCTCTCTTTCTTTTCTCCATTTTTTCTCTCCCTTCTCTTCCCCTCGTTCCGTCTCTCCTTTCTTTTTTCCATTATTCTCTCCCGTCTCCCATTTCCTCTCTCCTCTCTCTTACCCCATTTTTCTTCCCTATCTCCTTCCCTCATTCCCTCTTTCCTTTTTGTTTCTCTCTTACCTCCTTCTCCACCTTTTTTTTCTCTTTCCCGTTGTCTCTCTCCTTTTTTTCTCCATCATTTTCTCCTCTCCCTTCCTCCCGCATTCTTTCTTTCCTTTTTGACTCTCTCCCATTCTTTCTCCATCATTTTCTCCTTTCCCTCCCTCCCTCCCTCATTCTCTCTTTCCTTTTTACCTCTCTTCTTTTTTTTCCTCCATCCTTTCTCCTCTCCCCTTCTCCTTGCATTCTCTCTTTCTTTTTTATCTCTCTCCTTCCATCCCTACATCATTTTCCTCCCTCTCCCTTTCCCCGCTTGCATTCTCTCTCTCCTTTTTTCCTCCCTCCATCATCTATCTCCCCCCTTCTCCTCCTCATCTCTCCCCCCCTTCCTCGTTCTCTCCCCCTCTCCCTCGTTCTCTCCCCCCCTCCCTCGTTCTCTCCTCCCCCTCCCTCATTCTCCCCCTCTCCTTCATTCTCTCCCCCCTCCCTCATTCTCTCTCCCCCTCCCTCATTCTCTCCTCCCCCTCCCTCGTTCTCTCCCCCTCCCTCGTTCTCTCCCCCCCTCCCTCGTTCTCTCCTCCCCTCCCTCATCCCCACCCCTCCCTCGTTCTCCCCCCCTCCCTAATTCTCTCTCCCCCTCCCTCATTCTCCCCCCCTCCCTCTTTCTCTCCCCCTCTCCCTCATTCTCCCCCCTTCCTCATTCTCTACCCTCCCCCCCCTTCAGACCTGGATCCTCATCGCCATCACGGTGCTGGTCATGGGCCCCATTCTCTTCCTCATTAACCGGAATTCCCCGTTCTACACTTACTACGATCTCTACGACGGCAAAGGCCTCTTCCGACTTCAGAATTGCTCGTGGTACGTCTTCGGGGCCATCTTGCAGCAAGGTGAGTTTTAG